TACAGCCAAAGCAGATTTTTAGGACTGGATAAAAAAATAATTCTCAAGGTATTGGAATTTGAAAAAAAATGTGATGACTGAATATCAATTCAAGAAAACACGGAAAATGAGAGGAGCCTGACTGCTAAGAAGGTTAATACTCCCCAAAGCTGAAATTATATTCTCAACTTGTTAGCACAGCCTTTAGATTCCAGAAGTGATTATTTCCTGTTTAGCTCTGGTGGATCCAGAGGAAGATTCCAGTTCTACTGTAGCTTGACATGTCATCAAATAGTTGATAAAGTGTGCCTGAAGTTTTAGTATCCAGGTTAGAGAAATATGTGTGGTATGAAATTGCAGTTAGATGGATCCTTGCCTCACAGAATAGTCATCCTTTAAGAATGTCAACTGATAGATTATCATCAGTCTGAAGGTATTAGTGTGGTAGAAAGCAACCATGAAAAAATGTTAATTTGTCTACTGCTGTCTAAGGAAACAGTCGTAGAAGTGTGGAATGGTTGAAACTTAGCTTAGGCCATGTCAGCAGTGCACTGTGCTCGCCAGAGTAGTTAAGGTGTTCTTGAAGGTGCAAAGGAAGCGGAATGTTTGGGTCTGGAGGCAGGCAGCCTCAGGCTGCATACTCATTGGGCGGTCAGGGCAGGCTGTGTGTGGTACAGGGTTTTCCATTTTAAAAGAGACAGACAAATGAATTATACCTAAATGAGTAAGAGTGTATGAAACTATGTCATATAACTGAGAGAAGAGGGCACTTAGATTTCAGAACTTTTTTATGAGCTTTGGAGTGTTGAGTGGGGGTGAGTGGGAGAAAATTCAGTAAATTGATAACATTTGAGAACTTGATTTAGAGATGTCTAAAACAAGTTTTCTTGATATTAGGGTTATTTTGGAATAATTATAAGTAGTTGGAATTTGTATACTCGGTGAGTAAGCAAATGGTTCTGAACTTTTACTTCTCTAAACCACTGCGGTAGTTTGATGAAGGTAGTGTGGAGATGGGGACATTGAAATCATTATATCTTGTAGTGTTTGATGCAACAAAAGAACATATAAAGAATACTAATTATGAGGCATTTATGTGTTTCATAAATGAACACTTGTGAGCCCACCGCTTACAAACGAATTAGAGCATTACCTGTACCCATACCTGTGATGAGTTTCTGTAATTTTTGCCTTTGATCATATCAGCTTGATAGGATAGCATTAACAAAAGCTCTGCTTGCTAGCCTTAAAGAATGAAATGCTTTGGAGTCAGCTTTTAAAACCATTGGCATAATGGGGAAAATAATGAGTTTTTGCCTAGGGAGGTTGGAAACCAGTGGATTCAGTCACCATCATTTGATAAGCAACCTTTAATTATATAAAGTACCGGCTACCCACTCGAGTGTTTTGGGGCTTCCCTGACAAACTTTTGGTAAAGAATTCACTTGCAATGCAAGAGACCCCAGTTTGATTCCTGGGATGGGAAGGTCCCCTGGAGAAGGGGTAGGCTACCCACTCCAGTATTCTGGCCTGGAGAATTCCATGGAGTGTATTGTCCATGGGGTTGCAGAGTCAGACACGGCTGAGCGACTTTCACTTAGACTTTTCACAGGCACCGAGAGGTTAAGTAAGAGGCACCTGAAATGACATAGTTATTGTTAGAACTGGCATCAGAGCTTGTTCTGGCTTGAGTGTCATAAGTAATGTGCCAAGAAGTGCTAATGATTTTCTGGCTAGAAAGGTGCTATTGGTAAAGGTGTAGTACTCAGCTGGTTGGACTCCACAGTGAAAATTCTAAATATCTTGTGAACTCAAGCTGTCTTAGTCATCTTTTCATTTCCATTAGTGCTGTCTTGTATGTAATTTCTATTATTAAATTGAGTGATGTATTTTAGAGACTGAAATAAACATGGTAGAAATATTTTTTAATTTTAATAAAAATAGAATATATAATTTCATTGTAATTTTGCTTCACATACTCCTGTCATTAGAAAACAAAGTCAGAGTTCCTGTCCTCTTGACTTCTTTCTTGATCCTAATACCCTGTCTGTAGCAGAGTTGATGATGCCTGCTTTTGTGTCTAATCCGTATCTCTTACTTAATGTTGTTCTACCTTAGAGTACCTCTGTGTGTATATACCTCCTATATTAGACTAAATTTTTTGAGAGCTGGGACCATGACTTGCTTAACTTCAGTGCCCTAGAACCTGGCTCTTTCCTCTCTCCATTCACCCATCCATCAATCCCCATTTACTGAGTATTAATTGAGGACCCACTGTATTCCCAGCCACTATTGTAAGAACCAAGGATATAATAGGTAACAAAATTTCATGGAACTTTTAAGGTATTAAATAATCACAGAAATGTCTCTAGAAATACAGCTTAAGCGGTAAATGTATCTTTTCTTTCATTGTATCATCTGGTCAGATAGATATAGGTTACTGTGTTTTTTGGTATATTGTTTTTAAATCTAGTCATCTGAATTTTTTTTATTTATAATTGATTATTTTGACTTTTCTAAGTTAGATAAATTTGTTTACTGAAATCACTTTTGTTTACCAGAAAATCACTTTTTCCTCTCAGTCAGCTGTATTACTGTGTTAATAGATTTTAAAAAATATTGAATTATTCTTACGTTCATGGTGTAAATTCCACCTTGTCTAGTGCATTAGTGGATGCACTAGACATGCCAGTGATGTCTGTGCATTTTGGATATTTGCATCTCTATCTATAAGCAGATTTTGTCTCTGGTTTCCTTTTATGCTATTGTCAGGTTTTTGAGTGTTACTAGCTTCATAATAAGAATTGGGCAGCTTTTGAAGAGGAAATTTTAATGGAACAAACTAATGTTGAAAGTGCTTCTACATAGAGACCTGGACTGAAGGATATATGTGCAGTTTTAATTAGATTAAATTTTTCTCATGCCCTCCACTTAATTATGTGCTATAATTACATAATTATGTAAACAACCATTTATATTTAAATTGTTGGTCACTAGAAATTTGATTTGGGAATTGCTGTCATATGCAATTTAAGATAAACACTGATTTGATACTGGATATCATTGGGGAAGATTTCATTATGAAAGCAAAAGTATAAAAAAGAACTTAAAGAATCAAGTCTTGCCCTTATAATGTAGCTAAATACAAGGTACCTTCTTTTGATTTTCTTTTACAAAAGTTCACTTGCTATAAGAGATAAACATTTGGTAAACTTTGACAAGCAAATTTATGTTAAGGGATAAGATTTGTTATAAAATGAACATTGCTATCACTGAGGCAGAAAATGTACTATAGTGCAGAATTTTCACTGGTTGCACTAATATAACTGGGTAAAAACATCTTTGATCATGCCTTTTTACTGTAGTGAATTTTATTTAACTGAAAGCAATTTAAATAACTAGTTAAGAAAATTAAAGTTTGCCTTGCTTTTGATAGTTCCTTAATAGCAGTAAATTGAAGTTCAATGTTTGGGAGGCATACAAATACAACACGGTGTGGTTGTGGTAAATGTATCTCTCTATCCAGGTGAAGTTGTATTTTTGTATATTTATGTATTCTTTAACCTATTCATCTTATCTAAATTTTCTTATTAATAATTAGTTCTTTTGGAATCTTATTTTTAAGTATCAATACTAATAGACCCAAGCCTCTTCCCAGAGGAGGACCTAATCTGTCATTGAGAGTTGGTTAGAGAAACATTCAGCTAAGTTAATAATGACAACTTAGTGGATAAAGAATCTGCCTGCAGTGCAGGAGACCTGGGTTCAGTCCCTCGGTTGGGAAGATCCCCTGGAGAAGGAAATGGCAACCCACTCCAGTATCCTTGCCTGGAAAATCTCATGAACAGAGGAGCCTGGTGGGCTGCAGTCCATGGGGTCGCAAAGAGTCGGGCACGACTAAGCGACTAACACTTACTTACTTACTTACTTACTTACTTACTTACTTATTAGTGTATTCTAGTAGGTAGGGGCCTATCCTTTAGCACAATGTAAAAGCTACATGAAGAACTCTTGAAAGAATTGATTTCTTTATATAGGAGTTGATACGTTAAAATAGATTTCTCATTTTTTTTTTAAAGAAATCATTATTTACACCTGAGAACTGTCATGATAATTGTTTTAAAAAATCATTGAGTTTAGGTATCTCTGGTTTCTTGTATTTCATTCATTAACTTCGTGTAGTTTGATCTCCATCTCATCTTTTCCTCACAACTTCTGTATCAACATTGACTTAGCGGTCAAGTCCAAGGTCCCCTCTTTTTGCTCTTTACCTTACCATGTTTTTGTGGTATTTGATACTTTCGATCACCCTGGCCTTGAATCTGTCATTTCTTAGTGCTTTGATGCCTCTCTTCCGTAGGTCACCTGTCTACCTCCATTACTTCTTGGTTTGGAGCTTCTTTTCCTACTCCTTAAATCTTTCTTTTCCTAGGGTCATTCAGTTCTTTCTTCTCCCAATCCCCCCTTAAGACATCTTTTTTGTTCCTGTAGCTTTAACCAGTACATTTGTGTATCACACTCAGACTTCTGAATCTTTGTATCTAATGGACATCTCTGTTTCGGTATTCCAGAGATACTTAAAATATCTAAGGAAGTGGTCCAGTTTGAATTTCATTCAGATAGATTAGTTCTGAAGTATAAAGGAGCCTTTGGCATTAGTGTTGTCTGACAGGCATTCTTGGGGAGTTATTTGGCTGAAGCTATCATTTGTTTAGGCATGGAGAAATTAGGTAAAATAACTGGTTTGTATTATAGTGAATAAGAGCTTGGGCTCTGAAGTTATTTTTAATAAAATATATTATTTGGTGTAAATTTGGTTTCTGGTAAAATTTACTTAAGACTGTAGTTCGGTTATACACAGACCTAATCCAGAAAATGACAGAAAAGATCAACAACTCTTGACTTCTTTAAGTTTTAACACTTAATCAATGAAATCCTCCCTTACCCTCTTATTTATTTTTTTCCTGGACTAGTAAGAATATTTTTTTGTCTAACACATTTAAAATTTTTACTTTTAACAGAAATTAGCAGAGTACGGAAAGACATGTACAATGACACATTAAATGGCAGTACAGAGAAAAGGAGTGCAGAGTTGCCTGACGCTGTGGGACCTATTGTTCAGTTACAAGAGAAACTTTATGTGCCTGTAAAAGAATACCCAGATGTAAGTATATTTTGTTTATATTCAATGTTTTGTTTTGCTTTTTATCCTGCTTCACATTCTTTGGAAAGAGATATGTCTGGTGGTAAGCATTGGCAGCTGCTTTAAAAAATTTTCACATGAGGGACTAGAAGTATGAATAATATAAAATTATTTTTAAAAATATATTTTCATTTGCATGTTGCTGTGTCACTTTGGAAATGCACATAGTAAAGACTTTGTTCTTGATTTCAAATTGAGGCAAGAATTATGGAAAGAGCTTTGGCTTGAATGTCAGAAAGCACCAAGTACAACTGGTGCTTGTCTTTGATTTGACCTCCGAAGAAGCTGCGTCATCCTTTCAGTACAACGAGGGGTGGCTAGACTGTGATAGCCAAGGTTCCTTGCAGTGCTAAAATTTTTATCCTGACCGCTGTTTATAATTATTTTCATCTTAGTTCCTTGCTCAGCTATTCTCTGAATATCCTGTCCTGGATAGTCTCCTTATACTATACAATTAAGTTATAAAAGGCTCAAAACTCTTTGCCTTTTGTTACACAGCCCTACGTGATACGGTACTTTCTATCTCTGACCTCATCTTAAATGATTTTCCTTCTTCCTCAACACCTAGTAGTCACATTGGTTGTTAAGAATAAGTCTGTTCCCAGCCCAAGTACCTTTATGGTTTCTCTGCATTGATCTTAACCGGCTGGCTTCTTCTTGTCATTAAGATTTTAGCTTAAATGTCACTTTAGAGAGGCCTCCTCTGACCATTTAATATAAAAGCAATCTGGTTACTCATTATGTCACATATGTCTCTATTTTTCTGCAATAGCACTTATTTTCTAGTTTTTTTTTTTTTTTTTAATGTCTCACCCCAGCAGAATATAAGGTACTTAAGAACCTGTTTTTTGTTATTTACTTCTGTATTCCCAGTGCATATAATATTGGCACGTAATAGGCATCCGGTACCTACTGAATATATCGAGGCAAATCGATATCTTTTTGCGGAGCTTCAGAGGACTTTCCTGAAAGGAAGTACAAGAAGGAGTTGATATTGTAAAGTCAAAAATGTGATGTGCAGTCTAAGATGCATTGATTATGTGGATACTATCATAGTTTGGAGATTGGAAATAAATATCGAGTTGATAGGGGGAAAATGTTGATATTACATAAGGTGCATTTCTATTAATAATACAGTTTTCTTACAAGTTAACCCATTTACTCTTTTTTTTTAGTAAGTATTTTTGTTGCAAATATATAAACAATTTTGGATGATGTAGGCAAAAAAGAGTTTGTTGGAGGATAATTGGGTGTCGCACTAAGGGCTAAAGGAAGAGCTGGAGAACAAAGCTGTATATAAGACAGGCACCAGGGCAGGTTTGAGAACCTCAGTGGTGGAAGTTCAGACCTTCCCTGTTGAGAGCCTTGCTCTATTTCTGTTTTTAACTTCCATTTAATAATATTGTGGTAGTTGATACATACACATGTATAAATTCTCTTCAGACTCTGCTTCCATCCCGGCTGCCATGTAACTTTGAGCAGCATTCCATGTGCTACATAATTTGGCATCATGCCTCTCAGATTTTATTTTCAAACTTCGTATTCTTAGGAGAGAGAATGTATTTTGGGCCAGTTTGCTATGAGTAAGGCCTGGGATTAACTGACATAACCTAGACCACCCTGGGTATTGGATTATTTTTAGGGATGGTCAATTGTGATTTGGGCAGCTCTCCATCCCACTTGATGTCTACTACTTTGGTGTTTCATTATCTCTTTAAAAGATAACGAACTTCTCATCTGCTTGTTTAAAGGATAAAGATCCTGCACTAGTCTTAATATAGACTGTGTAAGAGCATGAGACTGTGTTAGAGAATATAACCTTAACTTGCCTGATCCCCATTCTTACAAAAAAAAGCCATGTAGGGAGTGATGTTTATATTGCATTACTTAAAAGACACAAGTCCTGTATAATCCTCTTAAGTCAGAAGAGATGTGTTTTATGTTGTGGATCCAAAGGAAGGCACCTTTTTACTATATTCCTGTCCTTTTCCACCAGTTGAGATTCATTATCATGGTCAACTTCAGTTGCTGACAGATATGTTGGAGTGAAACAATGTCTAGTTCAATGATTCTCAAAATGTGGTCCTGGGGCCATAGTATCCACACCTCCTGGGAACTTGTAAATGTTCAAACCTCAGCCCAGACTAGTCGAATCAGCAACTTGGGGGCCAAAGCTCAGCAGTCTGCCTTCCAAGCCATGTGGACAATCCCCAAGCACACCGAGGCTTGGGAAGCACTGCTCTCCTTTGTGTAGGTTGTCATCCTAGGCCAGGCTCACAGGTTGTCACGTAGGGTCCTCTTACCAGGAGTTGTTTTAGGAGGCAGATGGGGATAGTGAACTCTTGAGGAGCAGGCATCACAGTAGTAGAGACAGACAGGAAACAGGTGGATGTTTTCTTTAGGTCCTGTCCGTGCTGTGGGAAAAAGGAGTGCACAGTGGCTATGTGTTTACAGTCGAGGCATCTCTGTAAGATGAAGGGAGTGCAGAGACATGAGTAGAGCAATGGGGGAGGGCGTTCAGATCATCTGGGGAAGGATGTTTCAGGCAGAGAGATCAGCAGTTCAGCGAGCATGCTTGGGAAGTGTGGGGAGATTTGAGGTTAGAAAGTTAGCAGAGTGCCTATCCTGTAGAGATTTTGGATACTACTCAATGTGAAATGAAAAGCTGAGGAGTGCTGTGGGCTCAGTTAGGTTTTAATAGCTTATTTCTGGCTTCTGTGTGGAGAAAGGCAATGGGTGATACTGACAGCCAGGAGACCAGCTGGGGGCAGAGGAGGAATTCGACCAAGCAGACTTAGAAATAAATACTTTAGACGCTACATAATTGATAACTTAAGAGCCAGTAGGATTTGCTGGCAGATTGGATATGAGGGGGGAGGGAAAACTCAGAGGAATAGCTCGGAGGTTTTGATTGGTTGAAGTAACAGTCACCAATTCCTGAGCTGTGAAAGACTGAGGGAAGAGCAGGTCTGGGGTTGGGGCTTCACATTTCTGACTTAGACCTGAGTTTGAAGTCAGACATCCATATGTAGGCGTGTTAGTGAGGCAGGTGGTGTATGAGTTGTGGGTAATTCCTGGCACCCAAAAATATCTATTTTATCAAAGCTTTTTAAATGAGAAATTCAGTGGTTTATAGGAGAGAAATAGATATAAGCCATTTTGGTCCTTCAGACCAGTTTTTTAATACCTTGATTTTAAATTTCCTTTAGAAGAATTTGGCAGAGTTGGAGTCTGCATGGAGTTTCTCTTTGAGGTTATCAGTACATACCAAATGAATAGTAACTATGCTGTAGTCTGTACTAGGAACTGTATTTCATCATTAAATAATAAAATGAAACAAGAGTGTCAGATTTTGGCAGTATAGAAAATATTTTTATTTCAGAATTACGAATTAGGTATTGGTCACAATGAAACAAGTATGTGTTTTTCTTATTCCTGTTTTTCTTAATGTATCTTAGAGATCATTATATATGCATTTCTCTTACCTCCTCCTTTTGTATGAGGAATTGATTTTATGAGTGAACTCATGCTCTTTGACTCAAAAATGCTTTTATTAAAGCTTCAAAGGGGCAGTGTAGTATCAGGGTCCAAATATATGAACTCAGACTCCTGGCTGGCCCTAATGCTTGTATTGTGACTTTGGGCAAATCCAGTCATTAGTTTTTTCATCTCTGTATAGAGGTAGTCTCTCTTAGGCTTGTGAGGACTTATAAGTGAATTAGTACATGTAAGATGTTTGGAAAACGCCATAATGCTGTGTAGGTGTTGCCAGAATTAAGCTCCAGGAGGGTGGGGCTGTTTTACTTTTTCATAGTCTCGCTGCCTGGGACAATGTCTGGTAAACGGTAGCTGTACAATAAGTATTTGTTGTGTGTATCTGTATGCAAGCTTCAGTCTTTTAAATATTGCTGAACTTTTTAAAGTTGTCTTTTAAGTTTACATATAGCAACTTATTTATAAAAGTGTAAATTTGGAGATATTGTTTTGGTTTTGGCTGTGTATAACTCTGGGACTGATAAGAGAAGGAAGCCTTAGATTCAGTGTTTGAGAAATGAGATTGTGCTGTATTATGTCCACAGTGTTTTTTGAATCAGTGGCTTAATGGTGTGGGAATGAAAAGGTAATATGAATAGCTTGTTGAAAATGTATTGAAAATTTTTCACAGATTTAACTATTAGTATTTATACTTATTGATAAAGTGGATTTTATTGCATCTCTGCTAGTATTAAGCACATCCTGGAGGTGGGGATATTAATTCAGTAAAGAAAACTGCTTGATACAGTTGAGATAATAGTGGGTTTTTGAGTCAGGTTTTGAATCCTGGCTTACTCCTTTAGTGGCTGTATTTGTCAACAGTTGCCACAACAGTGCTCTATGTAAGCTGTCCTAAAACTTAGTGGCTTAAAATAATAAGTATTGATTTCTGTGCTCTTTATTTAGTCTATACTGTGTGTGCTGGAGTTCTGATGATTGAGTTTAGCCACCTTGGCCTGGGCCAGCTGTGTGTGTTTCAGTTACCTTTATGTTACCTTTATGTTCCTGCTAGGCTCTGCCCGAAGGGGCAGCAGCTGCTTGGAGCAAGCTCGTCTCCTGGCAGGTCACTGGAGTGGCAGAGCCAAGCCAAATTGCTTAAATACATGAAAGACCTCTACACTTTCTCTCTCAGCCAACATTCCCTTAGCTTGATGGTTGTCGGCTGTGGATGGATCTTGCCCTTCGGGGGCGTTTGGCAATTTCTGGAGCTGTTTTTGGTTGTCACAACTTGAAGGGAGTACTAGTGGCATTTAGAGGGTAGGTGCCACGGATGCTCTTAGACATCCAACAGTGCACAAGACAGCCCCAACAACAAGGAATTCTCCTGCCCCAAATGTCAGCAGTGCTGAGGGTGATAAACTGTTTTATCAAGTCACTCCGTCCACATGAGAAGGGACTGGAAAAATAATTGAGACTATCACACTGAC